AATTGTAATGTTATCAGGTCACATACCCTGTGACTGTTGCAAATAAAACATTGGCAGTAATTCATAGTAGTAATGATGTGAGGAATTCATTGTAAGTCTTTTCCTGTACAGATTAGCTGCTACCATCTAATCAAGTCTTAGTCACAATGGCCCTCCATCAGGTTTCCAGGATTATAAGATTTTAACGAGCACATCTTTTAAAGTGCTAACTTTTGATAAACTGCCCTGCTCCTTATTCACTGTGTCACCAGGCTTCTTAACTGTAGAGATTACAGCCTAGGATATATTATGGGGAAGTTCCATTCAGTTATATATGATCTCTCTGAATCAGAATTAATTCATCGATAAACCACACAAACACACACACAGCCCACAAACACACATAAGCATAAAAACAACTTCAGTCCTCTTTTAGGAAAAAGGGATTTATAAACTTTCTTTTCTTTCTAGGTGCCTTCAATTTTCTCATCTAACAAGGCAGATGAATTATTTTTAATATTTTTAATTTTTCTACTAGTTGTTGTTGTTGTTATGTGCCATCAAATCGCTTGCGACTCGTAGCGACCCTATGTACAACAGCCCTAAACTCTGCTCTGTCCCGTGCCAATCCCACTGTCATGACACTCCCATCCTGATTACCCCTGTCACTGAATCAATCCACTTCATTGAGGGCCTTCCCCTCCAGCACTGTCCCTCCATTCTATCAAGCATGATGTCCTTCTCCAAGGACCGGTCTCTCCTTACAACATGCCTAAAGTATGTTAGACAGAGTCTCCGAATCCTTGCCTCCAAGGAATCACCCGGTTTAACCCTCTCCAGGATGAATCTGCTTGTTTTCCTAGCAGTCCATGGTACTCTCAATACTCTTCTCCAGCACTACAGCTTAACGGCATCAATTCTCCTTTTATCCTCCTTAGTCATTGTCCAACTCTCTGATGCAAAACAAGTATGGCCTGTATCAGATGCACATTAGTTTACAGAGAGACACCATTGCTCTTCAGTACTTTGGAGAGGTCCCTAACAGCAGATTTCCCATCACAATAACCTTTTTAATTTCCTGGCTACTGGTGCCAAGAGTGTTGACTGTGGAGCCAAGCAAACTAAAGCTGTGAACAATCTCAGTCTCTTCACCATCCATCCTGATGCTGCCAGATGGCCCAGTGGTGAGAATCTTTGTCTTCTTGACATTGAGCCTCAATCCATATTAGAGGCTGTAGTCCTTGACCGTCTGCAGCAAGCACTTCAGGTCCTCCTTAGTTTCAGTAGCCAGGGTTGTGTCATCTGCATAACACAGATTGTTGATAGATCTTCCACCAATCTTGACCCCACATTTCTCCTCATAGAGCCCAGCCTCCCATATAATCTGTTCTGCATACAGGTTGAAAAGGTGTGGAGATAGGATACAAATTTGAACAAATTCTTTAAGTTTCCCTCATACCCCCCAAATCAAATTGTACAACCCAATGATTAATCTGCCTTCCCCCTGCACATCCACATCCCTCTACTGCCAACCTCTCCCACTCCTCCTGGATCCTTATAGTCATTCTACCATAATGGTTTTATACAATATTTACCCTTATGGGACTGAGTGAATTCACTCAGCATAATGTTCTCCAGTCCCTCCCAAATTAGGTAATAATTTATAAAGTTATTGCTTCTCTATGCTGCATAGTATTCCATTGTGTGAATGTACCATAATTTCTCAATCCATTCATTTGTGGTTGGACATTTGGGTTGTTTCCATACTCTTGCAGTGGTGAATAATGCTGCTATGAACATCAGTGTATAATCTCACTTTGTGCTTCACTTCTTATATTCTCAGGGTATATTCCAAGTTGTGGAAGAGTGGGGTCATATGGAATTTACTCAGATAAATTCTTTATTAACTAGCATTTAAAGCTCTTGGACTCTGTACTTTTATTTTTTTATTATTAAATTTTATTAGTTTTAATGAACATTTACAAAGATTTTGGGTTTTCATTCATTCATTGTTGCACTGTTTTCTCCACCCTCCTCCCCAGTTCGTTCTTCTTCCCCGCCCCCATGTCTGTTTTAATTGTCCAGTTGCCACAGTGCTTGTCAAAGCCAGTTCTGATTCATCTCCTTTGTCAGT